AGTCCTGATTTTTATCTTGTGTATCATAAAATAGTTCTAAATTATTAGAAGGTAATAAGAATTATTTTAAATAGAGGTCATTAAATAGAATGATTCTTTTACCCTTACCTCTAACCACTTCCCCCAACCCCCCAAATAGACTGGTAAGTTCTATAAATTGACAAAATAGCTGTACTCATAAGCATAGTTTGGTACTAAACTGAAACATGAGCAAATTAGGTCAGCACTATAAAACTAGCTAGTTTTATAGCTGGATAACACATAACATGCTTAGAAGTTCAGAAGAGGGAAAAATTAAATCATGGGTGGGCTTTGCTATCACTGATTGTTTGGATTATTGGACTACGTAGAAGTAAGCACTGTGCAACTGTGAGTATTTATTTTCCTCAATAAGGTATTTCTTGTAGTGACTGAAGAAAAATATACCATCAGTCTAGTACAACATCAATTTCTTCATCTTTATTTGCTTTTCTCATCAGCATATATGCTGCTATATCTGCTATTGTACTCATTCATCCATATATGCTGCTGTATCTCCCTTCTAAAACAATCTCAGTCTCTCCTTTCCTCCCTCCCTCATTCCTCCCTTCCTTCCTCCCCGTCTCTCTCCACCTTCACTCTCTCAGGTTCTCTAGCTATCTTTTCTTCTCTCCTTCCAAATATCCTCCATTTCCATTGCTCCCAAGCCGCCATCATCTTTCGCCTGGGTCTCTATACTGTTCATCTACTCTTCTTGAACCCAGATTTGAGCCCTAAAGTCCATTTCCCACAGAGCAGCCACGTGAGATAATATATTCATAGGAAATTAGATTATACCACTCAGTCTCCCACCCTAGTAGCCCTCTCATGGCTTCCCATTGCTTTTAGAATAAAATTTGAGCTTCTGATCAAGGTCTATAAAGCGCTAAAGGATCTGGTCCTAGTTTGACTTTCAACATTATCCCCAGTTAATCTCCTTCTTTGTCACTTTAGTCCATCCTCAAGGGCCTGTTTTCTGCAATTTTAACTGAGCCTCCCATTGCTGTTCTCTTTGAACACTTTTCTTTCCTGTCTTTGCATGCTAACACCTTCATATTTCCATACCTAGATGGTTATTCTTTACAAGTTATGGATGGATTTTGCCACTACAATAATAATGAGAAACCTTTATACAGCACTTGATATAAATCAGGTACTGATTCTAAGAACTGTATGTTTATATTGTTACTTTTAAATTATCTTTATTATTCATTTATAATTTAATTTGAACAATAACCTATAGAATAGCACTACTGTTTCCCCCATTTTACAGCACAAGAAAGTAAAACTAAGTACAAGAGCTTAAAAGAAATTAAGTAATTGGCCTAAGGCTTAGCATGAGTAATTGGAAAAGCTGGATTTTAATGCAGGCACTCTGGTTTCAGAATCTGCATTCTTGACTGAGTCTTTTATTGATACCTTTGTATTATTTAAATGTCTCTTTAATTACATAATACATAATGGATATGTTTTTGAAAATATTTAGTGAAACCTACATCAATGTATGTAAAATTTAAATTTATTTCTGATAAAATCTATTCTCCTTATGTGAAAATACTCTTAAAATTTGTCAACAGGAACTATTTTGTAAGAACAGTAGGAGGATAAAAAAGATAAATCTTTTTCCTTTCTTAATGGGATCTACTGACATGAAATATTCTAAGCAGAATATTTGCTCTATGTAGATTTTGATTGAATAATTGCATATGCTAATTAATACAGCAAAATAAATTTATTGGTAAATAGTACTAGGAATTTTTTTAATTTGACAATTTTTTTTAATTTGACAATGTCATAACATTTTCAATATTTTGGTATACTTATTTTAATTTTTCACAAGAATAGCTTCATTTAAGATAATTATATCAATGAGGAAGTAATTTCAACAAAACAATATAAATATATAATGATACAATGATTTTTATTTTGCCAGGGTCAGAGATTAATTGTCAAGAACACAAGAATTGTCAAGAGATTAATTGTCAAGAACAATATGCTCACAACAGATTTCTTAGCACATATTTTCCTGATAGGAAATAAAATATTGATTCTGGTTCATGAACCAAATATTCCAGGGCAATTTTATTTTATTCACTAAATATGTTGTAGTTTTGGTAATGAAGAGCCTTATTTAATTTACTGGAACTTTGCCACCACCAATGATGATGATGGTGGTGATGATTATGATTATGGCAGGAAACCTACCACAGTTTCCCTTCCAGAATTCAGAAATAACAAATAAATACAAGGAATGGCCAGTAGAGACAATAATACCAGACGTGGCGGTGACAACACTAGATCATGGAATATGGTTTTGATATGTGACCACAACCACAGTAGATTTTTAAACCCTTGCTTCCTAATTCTTAACCACAGAGTCACAAAGAGGAGAGTAAACTGCTGAACTTCCCAAAAAAACAGAGCAGAATTAATTCCACAGCAAGGCAGACATGAAAGACAAAGAGAGAATAACTTTGAACTCAGCCATTTATTTTAATTTCTTTTAACCTAACACTGAGGAGAAATCAGTGAGGGGGGTGAGGGTGGGGGGGAAGAAACCAGGAGTGTGAGGAATTCTGATTGTGTAACCCATGTCTTGATATATATCCTATGGGATCACTGAATTGAGCACATTAACATTTCCTTCAATTTCTGGAATTTCCTTCAATTTCTGGAATTTCCTTCAATTTCTGGAATTTTTCATCTTTCCTGGAAAGATGAAAATCTTCAGAATGATAAATAAAACAGATCACTTGAGCAGAAAAAATGATCAACGCAATAGTTATAACTACTGCTATAAAGTTCTCAGTTATTTCCACAGTTTTTACACCTGTAACAGGCAAACCAAGTCACTGATATATCTTGACTTCATGCCAGAAGGCAAATGAGTACAACATTATGTTAAGAATCAAGGAGAAGGGTTGGGTATTGATATTGACTGAGAAGTTATTTGTATAAAATTGTTTTCTTTAATGCCATTGTTTAACATTATTGATCACTGTTTATATGAGAAATTTCAATAATGCCACTGTTTATATAAGAAGTTGAGTTATACATACCCAAATGAGGTGAAGATTCCCTACTAGACCTGTTTTATTTTGGGTAGCCTGCTTAAGTCTCTAGAATGTACTAGCGATCTGTTCCTTTGCATGGCACTCGTGGATATTCTCATAAAGGGAAAGTTTCTCAAAAAGTATAGATAAATCAAAATTCCTTTTTATCTAGAAAAGGAATCTTGGTCACCGCCTGCCTGTATAATATGTTTTGAGTTGGACTTTACCTTATTTAAAGTAAGCTCATCATATTATATTCATTAGAATTCTGAGCTCCAACTGTTTGAGTTAGCCATTTACCCCCAAGTATAATGGACAGATTTAAAATACAATATACAAGTGAAAATACAGGATTCTCAGTTAAATTTGAATATCAGATAAACAACATAAAAATGTTTTAGTATAAGAATGCCACAAACAGTATTTGGGACATATTTATACCAAAAATTATTAATTTTTATCTGAAATTCAGATTTCACCAGGCATTCTCTATATGGCCCAACAACGCTTATCCATCTGCCAGGATACTGTTCCTTGTGTCCGCCCTAGAGATATGCAACCAAATATGTTCCTTTTTTTTAATATAAATTTGATGATTTTATGTTTATAATAGTTTTACTTGCAAACTTATGGTAAGTTTGATTATACTGCAGTTTATCTTCCTTGTAAGATAAGGATTTTTATTTATAGACTTTAAAAATTGGACACATCTGCATGACAACTTAAACTATCATAACTGAAAATATTATTAAATTTTACACATTCAAGTGATAAGTTTCTAGTTAAATGAACACAGTGATAGACATTATTTAGCAAAAATGGTATCTATTTTCCAGTGCAGGAAATTATCAGTCAACTATGTTGGCCTAAAAAAGACCTTTATTTTAACTTTATGCATTTGAGTACTATGTTTCTCCATTGGTATGAAATATATTTTTAGACTTTGGATCAAACTGGATCAAAATTTAGTACCTTGTTTTAGAAACCAAGCTTATCTGTAACTGAAGTGGGTAGAAGGATACTATGTGTGGCTCCAGAGCAGGATTTTAAACAGTACCTTCACAGCCTAAAAATGTCACCCTTGAGAGGATTAATGTTTATTGAAGTACATGTCCATGTGGTTTTATATTTACATCTTATCAGGATTTGAACTTTGACAGCTAAAAAATTGAGATTTCAAAGCTGTTTTATTTTTCAGCGTCCTATATAATACCAAGTTAGTTCTTCAAACTTGAAGAGTGACAATGTCTTCAGAGTGAATTGAAAAAATTAAAAAGACAAAGCCTTTTATTTTAAAAATACATATTGTTTTAGAGAAACAACAAAAAATTTAGTAATACACCTCCCTTAAAACTTACAGTTAATTCTGTTCTACAGGATTCTTTGTATTTTGCAAAAGCATTAGCATAACTTATATCAGATATATCCTGTAACAATGCAAAACATATTTAGAGCCTTCAAGCTTTTTAGATACACTTCTGTTCTGTTTTTTAAACAGAATGTCATCACATGATTTTTCACAGCATTTCCCGTATGCATATTCATATCTGGGATGGCCATCTATAACCACAATTATTTTTTATAATTGAGAAGGCATAATAAATTAATGAACATCTTGTTTAGATAGTTTTTTAATAGAAATATTTTTTCAGTGTAATAGCTTAAAGGGTAGAATATAACTGTAGCTGCTCTGAACAGAGTTAGATACTTTATTTTTATCATCTGTTGGAACAAAAAATGAGTACCTGTCAGATATTTCCAATGACAGTCATTTGAAAATAGTCAAAGTTATGTACACAATCATGCTGTGGGCAAAACTATGGCAAGTTCTCATGGACAGGTATATGGTTTGAAGATTAGATGCTCTACAGTAATTCCTGTAATTTTCTGTAAGTAGTATAACAAACTTGGCATTTATTTATCCTCTAGATGAAATGAATGATCATCAAAGTACCCTCTCCTACATCCTGATTAACCCGTCTCCAGATACCAGACTGGAGCTGAACGATGTTGTGTAAGTTGATCTCCTATTTCACATAAGTCATTTATTTTTAGGAAACTAGTAATTTATTTATTTCTATATTTTTGTTTCTACCTCTTGTGTCATAAATGCTTAGGAACTGCCAGTCTAATTTCTATGTTCAATAAACAAATGCATTTTATGTATTTCTATGTATAATATTATAAAAAAGCATTGTAGAATTGTAGAGGTATAAAAGAAGGAAGTAGCAGCAGGAATTCTGTACTTCTGAACTCATATATATTTGGAGAAATAAAAGAAAATATGCAGAATAATAAGAGAACAGCTCAGAGAAAGACCTGAAATACTCCACATTATCTAGTTTTAAATACCTGAGAGTTTCCAAAAGCTCTAAGTAAAATAAGTCAGAACACTTACTAGGAAAATGGTATGGTAGTAACCTGATTAATCAAAAACTGTGCCATGCATGTACAATTGCATTAGCGTTTCCTTAAAAGTGCGATATAGAGATAAGACATTTTTCCTGATTTCAAAGTCTTACACTTTAATTAACAAACTACAATTTAAACATAAAAAATTTGATAGCAATATATAATATGACTTTATTACTAATGAATTAGGCACCAACTGAGTGAAACAGTGTTTTTCTGATTTCAAAGAGGAAGACATTATTGTGAGTTACAGTGATTACAGAGGATATGAGGATTTGAACCAGACTTTGAAAGGTAAATAAGATTTGTGTAGGTGGAAAGCACAGGACGTTCCAGAGCAAGGAGCTGCATAATGTGCTTCTTTTGTTAACACGAGAGAGTCCAGTTTGATCCTAGTAAAAAAGCTTTGTATTACTAACATCTCTGTTGTTCACTAAACATAATATTGGAGATGTATATTGAACCTGACTCTGGGGGTACTTTAGGTAACAAAATAGGTTGAAACTCAGTTTAAACCTTATAGGCAATGGGAAGTACTTAGATATATGAACAAGAAAGTAGCAAGATTTTAGAAAAGGCATTTTGATAGTTAATGGTGTAAGCCTAAGGGAGAAATATCTAATACGGATTTGCCCTTGAGGTCCATTGTCCTGAGGCGGAGCGGGATCAAGAGCTGCTGAGCTAAGGTAGCTAATTCCAGGTTGCACTACTGATGTAGTACAAACACCAAAGATCCAAAAGCCTTGGTGGGTGTGAGGTCAACAGGATGTGTTTGTATCTATAATTGGGAAAATCAGTAATAAAGTCAGAGACTGGTAGGACTGAGAGTATTCTGTGATACAGAACACAAGATAGATATATGCAAATGGTTTAAAGCTAAAGCTAGTAATATGCCAAGAATTAGAAGGCTGCCTTTATATATTTTGTGGGGTATGTTGGCTGGAATGGAAAGGATATATGTATTTGAAAGAGCTTTGCAAGAAACAGTTGAATTGATTGACAGCATGGATTAAGACTGAAACAGTTACAAAAATAGGGAAACTAGTCAAATTGCTGTTAGGCAAGTGTGTGAAAGATAAGAATCTCTCATAGCATTAAGATAATGGATTGTAGAGGAGGCTTCTGTGTATATACACTTATGAAGGCAAAGAGTAAGACCTGTCATTGGTGTGGGAATTGGAAAAGAAGAAATGTAATATGGCTTTAAGGTTCCAATACTATAGAGAACCCAGAAATGGACCCACAACTATATAGTCAACTAACCTTTGACTAAGGAGGAAAGAATATCCAATGGAAAAAAAGGCAGTCTCTTCAACAAATGGTTGGGAAAACTGGACAGCAACATGCAGAAAAATGAAACTGGACCACTTTCTTATACCATACACAAAAATAAATCAAAATGGATGAAATGTGAGACAGGAAACCATCAAAATCCTAGGGGAGAACAAATGCGGCAACATTTTTGACCTCAGCCCATAGCAACTTATTAGACACATCACTGGAAGCAAGGGAAACAAAAGCAAAAATGAACTATTGGACTTCATCAGTGTAAAAAATCTTCCATACGGCAAAGGAAACAATCCACAAAACTAAAAGGTGGCAATGGGGGAAGATATTTGCAAATAGCATATCTGATAAAGGTTCCAAAATCTATAAAGAACTTACACCCAAAATACAAATACTCCAGTTAAGAAATGAGCAGAAAACATGAATAAATCCTTTTCCAAAAAAGACATCCAGATAGCTAACAGATACACAAAAAGATGCTCAAAATCAGTCATCAGATGGCTAAAATTAACAACACAAGAAACAACAGGTGTTGGCAAGGAGGTGGAGAAAGGGAAAACTCTTGCACTCTTGAAGGGAATGTTAACTGGTACAGCCACTCTGGAGAACAGTATGGAGATTCCTCAAAAAGTTAAAAGTAGAACTACCCTAGGCTCCAACAATTGCACTACTAGATATTTACCCAAAGGATAAAAAAAATACAGATTTGAAGGGGTACCTGCACCCCAATGTTTTTAACAGTATTATCAACAATACCCAAACTGTGGAGAGAGCCCAAATGAATGGATAAAGATGATGTGGGGTGTGTGTGTGTGTGTGTGTGTGTGTGTGTGTGTGTGTGTAATGGAATATTATTCAGCCTTCAAAAGGAATGAAATCTTGCCATTTGCAAAGATGTGAATAGAGCTAGAGTGTATTATGCTAAATGAGATAAGTCAGCCAGAGAAAGACAAATATCATATGATCTCACTCATGTGGAATTTAAGAAGGAAAACAGATGAACATATGGGAAGGGGAGGAAAGAAAAAAAGGAGAGAGGGAAAGAAGCCATTAGTGACTTTTAATGAAAGAGAACAAACTGAGGGTTGATGGAGAGAGGTGCGGGGGAGATGGGCTAGATAGGTGATAGGCATTAAAGAGGGCATGGCTGTGGTGAGCACTGGGTGTTGTATGTAAGTGATGAATCAATGTAGTCTCCTCCAGAAATCAATATTACACTGTATATTAACTAACAAAATTAAAAAAAAAAAGAAATTCAATTCTATCTGATGGCCAAATAAATAAATAAATGCTGGTTCACTGAAGCAAGTCAGAATAGGAAGGCAGTTTTCTGGGAAGAAAAAGAGGAATTGTTGGCTGTGGGGGAAAAAAAAGAAATGATGAGTTTTCTACTATGAATAAATCTGATATGAACATCCAAAAAAAAAAAAAGATGATGAACTAGAGTTTAGATACATCATTCAATGTGTTACATGGAAATGTCTAGAAAGCATATAGAAATATATAGTACTGGAGCTTTGAAGAGAAGCTAGTTATGTAGGAAATACTGATTTTTCATCTTCCAGATGAACAAAGATAAAATTATTATTTTAGGGGAGAAAGGTAAGTATGTTTCAAAGACTTCTTAGGAAAACACCTCAGCAGGAATAACTTGAACCCCAAATCAGTGTGAAAACAATTTATTTATTTTTTTAATTTATTTTTATTATTTTTAAAGATTTTATTTATTTGACAGACAGAAATCACAAGTAGGCAGAGAGGCAGGCACAGAGAGAGGGGGAGGCAGGCTCCCGCCAAGCAGAGAGCCCGACGCGGGGCTCGATCCCAGGACTCTGGGATCATGACCTGAGCTGAAGGCAGAGGCTTTAACCCACTGAGCCACCCAGGTGCCCCTGAAAACAATTTATAATGCACCTCACATACAATTAATTAATTTAATTAATTAAAAAATAATTTAAAAATAAGAAGCATACCTCAATATAATAAAAGCCATATACAATAAATTCATTGTTAACATTATAATAAATGAGAAAAAATTGAGTTTCCTTCAAGATCAGGTACAAGACAAGGTTGCCCCCTCTCAATTTTCCTGTTCCATATAGTACTAGAAGTCCTACCTAAAGTATTTAGATACGACAAAGAAATAAAAAGTATCCAAATCAGAAAGAAGTAAAATTGTCACCATTTGCTGAAGACATGATCTTATATAAATTCCAAAGGGTCAATTAAAAATATGTTTACCTTAATGATTTCAGTAATGTGGCAGGTTACAAAATCAACTTACAGAAATCAGTGGCATTCCTTTACACGAATGATGCAGCATCAAAAAAAGAAATAAAACCAACCTATTCACAACAGCATCCAAAACAATAAAATATTTAGGAAAAAATTTAAACAAAGGAGTGACAGATCTGTACATGAAAACTACAAAACTTTGCTGAAAGAAATCAAACAAGACACAAAGAAATGGAAAGATTTCCTGTGTTCCTGGAGTAGAAGGATAAATATTGATAAAATGGCCATGTTACCCAAAGCCATATACAGACTCAACAAAATTCCTGTCAAAATCTCAAAGTAATCTTCACAGAATTAGAAGAAACAAGACTAGAATTCATGTGGAACTGCAAAGAATCTTGACTAGCCAAAGCAGTCCTGAGAGAAAATGAACAAAGCTAAAGGTATCACATTTTCAAACTATACTACAAAGCCATAGTAAAAAAAAGTATGGTGCGGCACAAAAATAGACACACACATCAATGGAATAGAATAGAGAGCCCAGAATTAAAACCTAGTATGAGTGGTCAACTAATATTTGACAGAAGAAGCTAGGATCACCCAATGAGGGAAGGAAAGTCTCTTCAAAAATTGATGCTGGGGAAACTGGAGAAGCATATACAGAACAATGAAATTAGATTCCTATCTCATACCACTAAAAAAAATAAAACCCTCAAAATGGATCCAAGACTTAAATATAAGACCTTATATCATAAAACTTCTAGAAGAAAACAGTGAAGAAACTCACTGATATTGGTCTTGGCAATGATACTTTGGTCATAATGCCAAAAGCACAGACTAAGCAAAAATCAACAAATGGGACTACATCAAACTCAAAAGCTTCTGCACAACAAAAGAAACAATCAACAAAATGAAACAACAGCTTACAGAATGGGAGAAAAGTTTTGCAAACCATATCAAATCCAAAATATATACAGAATTAACAGAACTTATTAACAAAGAAGCAAAGAATCAAATTTTAAAATGGGCAGAAACTAGTTTCCAGAAGACACGAAAATGCCCAGTGCCATGGAAAGATGCCCAGCATTATTGATCTTCAGGGAAATGCAAATAAAAATGACAATGAGATATCACCTCACACCTGTTGGGATGGCTGTCATCAAGAAGACAAGAGACAACATGTGTTGGTGAGAATGTTGTAAAAACAGAACCCGACGTACACTGTTGGTGGGAATTTAAATTTGTCCAACCACTATGGAAAACAATATGTAAGTTCCTCAAAAAACTAAAAATAGATCTACCATATGATCCAGCAATTCCAGTTCTGGGTATATTCTTCAAAGGAAATGAAAACAAGATTTTGTTGAGACTTATGTGCACTCATGTATGTTGCAGCATTATTCACAATAACAGATACAGAAACAACCCAAATGCCTATCAATGGATGAATGCATAAGAAAGATGTGGTATTATACATAGTGGATATTATTCAGCCGTGAATAAGGAAGATATTCTGCCATTTGCAACAACATAGATGGACCTTGAACACATTATGTGAAGTGAGGTGTCAGAGAAAGACAAGTACTGAGTGATAGCACATATATGTGGAATCCAAAAAGAAAGTCAAACCCATAAAAAAGACAGGTGGTTACCAGGGGATGAGAGGTGGGGGATTAAGATTGATGGTGTTTAAGGGTCCAAGCTTGTACCAAGAAATAAAGATAGAGATCTAATGCACAGTGTAATGAATATAGTTAATAATAACACACTATAACATTATAAATGAATATTGCTTCAATGGCAATCATATTAAAATATATAAATGTATCAAAGTAACATGTTATATATTTTTAATTTACAAATTAGAAAAAGTTCAATTTATCAAGTAAAAAAGCTATTAGTTTTCTTCATCAATCTACAATGCTGGTGATATTTAAAGTAATCATAAAGCAATGTGCATAGACAACAGTATCCAATTAATGGATTCAAGGACATTAATTCCAACTTTTACTTGATTGGAGAAAATAGACTGTAGTGCTTTAAATTGCCTTTTCTTATTTTCATTAAGGAACATATCTTATGATTATTTTTCCTTTAGTTTTTAAGAAGAAAAATGTAGTCTTCATTAGAGTTCTCCCTTTAAATTGGGTTTTCTGCTCATTTTTTGTATCTCCCAAATTATTATAAAACTATGAATTCCTAGTTTCATTTACATCTGAAGCAAGACTTTGTTCAAATGCTGCATGGCACGTATTTACTTTCCTTTTTTTTCTGTAAACTGTCAGTGGCTTTCCACTGCCTTTGGAACAGAGATCGAAACTACTTTATCCCGAAACTTAAAGTCCTTTGTTAGCTGTTTTCTTCTTTTCTTCCTGAATTTACCTTCCACTATTTCCTGGTTTAGCCATTCTCCCGAAGTCAAATTCATTTTCTAAAAGAGTTCAGGAGCAAGCCTAGAGAGAGAAGCTCAACTCAACCTTCTCAATTAAGCATTCCCTAATTCTCACTGTTGCTTTTTTTCCTCTTTCTGTGATGTTTGGAATTTATTTTTCTTGTTTATGTCTGCTTTATAAATTAAATTCTACTAATCTTGTGCAGGACAGGAGTTAAGCTTTGTGACTTTTTACCTTCCCAGTTCCCAACGTAGTATTCCAGAGGGGCTCAGGAACTGGAAGCCCGTGTCATATGAGAGTCTGAAGTAAAACATCTCTCTTGAAACAAATCCTAACATTATTGAAAGGTACAAGTTTGGCAGATGAACATTTTCCCGTTTACCAGTAGAATGAATTAAGAATTATTTTTTATTGTTTTGTATAGTTGCTCACTGTAGCAAAACCTGAATTTTAGACTAATTTCCAGGTAATTAAAAGTTTATCTCCACATAATATTTTTCAGAGCATGTATCAAATGACTACTTTTTAGAATCCTGAAATATATAAATTAAAAGGACTATAGACATTATTTAGATCAAATAAATTATTAATAAGTAAATAAATAATTTAGATCAAAAGGCTAAGAGCAGGTAAGTAATAGAAGGATCATGGCTAAGATTTGTCTCTTTGTTAGAAAAAAGAGACAAATCAAATCATATATATATGATATATATAACCATAAAAAAACCCGCTGAATTGTTCAAATCAAACAAATAAAACATAAGACAAAGGTGGTAAAATGGACCACAATTAAAAATTAATAATTCTTGATTCATCAGCATACATTGTCATAATCTGCTTAGGTATAGAAACAATACAAGTTCTGTCAAATTGTATAGGCCAGCCAAGAAGTGAGTCCTTCTACAGGTGCTATGCATAGACACAGTTTAAATGAACTAAAAGCTAAATATATTTGAAGCAGCAGTCTAAAGTGTAAGTGTGAATTAGTTTTGCCTTTATTTACTATTATAGTTATTTGCTTTGTTTTCTTTTCCTAGATACTTAATCCGACCAGATCCGCTGGCATACCTTCCAAACAGTGAACCCAGTCGAAAAAACAGCATCTGCAATGCCATGGGTCAAGACTCTCGGGAGGAAACTCAGCTTTGATAAAAGGAAAATAAGAGACCTTTTTCCCCTACAAGAATCTTGCTTGCAACAACTCTAACTCTTAGGGGAAGAATGAGTGCTGCTGGCAGGAAAGAATCTCGATCAGAATATATTCAGTTCTCTCATATTAAAAGCAATCTATTCTCTTAGAAGTATAGATTATTTTGAAAGTTAAAGTATTGCTTATTAGTACTCCTCCTATTAATATCTGAAAGACATCAGTGGAATGATTTTAAAAACCTAAATTAAAACAAAAAATTTAAATCGGTTATTTGTTTGACAACAATCCAAACTGTATGAAGGTAATTTTTAAAAGTGTTAAGGTTTTATGAAAGTAAACAAAAAACTCCAACTGTATTTGGTGCATCACAATGGTCATAGAAGTTTGTGGCTCCTCTTAAAAATTAAAGTCATATTATATTCTTTAAACTTGCGTTTTATAAAATTGAGTTCATCATAAATGTCTAGCATCTACACAAAGATTAACCAACAAACTTGTATGGCTGACTTTTGTGTAAGAATCAGTTTGCTTTAGAGTATAAATCTTTAAATCATTTTAACCTTTTTCATTGCCTTTTCATATGGTATCATACTCATTTTAGAATTTGAGATGTTCACAGCATGTTTTATAACATTGAGGAAACCAAAACAAACAAAAAAATATCAAGTACCTGAACTTTTTGCTCACTTAATGTCTGACACACATTGTATGCCAAGAAAAATGTTAAAAATCAAATATTTATTATTCTCCTAAAAGAATGCCTAACTGAGAAAATACTGAAAACACATATGTTGGCTTCAGTTGAAGCCAAGAATTGAAACATTAACTGATATATGCATTATTGGTTTTCATTAGGCTCTTGAGCTTTAACATTTTTATAATTTATATAGCATATTTCATTAGAAAGGTACTTTAAAATTCAAGCAGGCAAAATTATACCTTTTATGGAATAAAAGGACATTTCAAAACATTTAAAGTCCTCTATGCTTTTGTATTGAAATACTCATACACAAAACAATGGTATGTTAAAAATTTTGATTTAATTTTGAAAAACCATCTGTAGGACATAGGTTTTAACACTGTGAGGAAAAAACATGTAGTGAAGATAGGTAGTTTTTGCCATTGAAATGTAATATAAATCATGAAGAATTTTATAGTTATAAATTAAGTATGAATTGATCCTTGGTATTATCTTTTTGGTTTATTCCCCTTCAGAAACAGACTGAGAAGCACAAGAGCATGGTTTACCAGGTGGTTGGAATCTGTTAAGGTATTCCCATGAGAGAGACATCGGTAAATTGAAAAAGATATTTTTCCTCTAATTTTGTATCTTAAAAAAGTTCTGGCCTTGACATTGAATTTTAATTTCATAAAAAATTGGACATGTAAGACTAGAAAGGGATACTTTCTCCCTTCTCCTCACAAAGAAGCAGATAAGTTAGAAAGATAGTAGAAGAATTAAAAAAAAAAAAACAAGTAAAGAAAGCCTAAAACTCCCCAAATAATTCTATAGAAATGAAAATGTAAATCCTAACATGTGAAATTATAGCTGATAGCCATTGTATAATTTGGCTTAGAGAGGATGAAATATGCCTATTTGTTATTGTTGTTTTTTAGAATTTTCCATTATTCTCATTTTAAAATAACAAAAACACCAAGAATTTCCTCTAAAACAGGGAGAGCCTATCTTTAACTTTCTTTAATCAGACAGGGAAGTAGAGAATTCATAACAAGTTACTTAAAATTGGAAGTGGACCTTAAAACAAAGATTGTATGCATATTCATGCATGTACGTTGTAGACATGTGAAATATACTGGACAAACTTATATATTCACCTGTAAATTATTCAAACTAAAGGCAGAATTGAACTTATATGTAATAGATAACAATAACGGGTTTATTAACTTATTTTATATTTGCACATCAGTAATCAAATGTGATATTTCTTTGAGTTGCCATTTCATTACTCCATTACAGTTATTTTTAGGAATAAATGTAAGATTTTATGAATATTCTATTTCCCCACGAGATCTCAAGTTTAGTATTTTTGCATTTTGACCATTTTCAAGACTAGGACTCCAAGCTAGGACATGACTGTATTTCCTACAAAACTAAAAGTTTTGTTTCATAAATTTTACAAGAATTATTTTTGATTATGAACATTAGCCCAAATTTAATAATTGACACAATTCATAACAGCTTGCTATAATATTGATAGTTTATTAGTTTTCTGTTATTTAAAGCATAAAAAATGCTTCTAAAAGCCTTTTAACAAACTGTTGCCTTTTTAAAATACTTGCACACAAAAATAAAACATAAAGTCAATAATAGTCCTTGTAATCTTATGGGAATCGGTTCTGTTTATTGTCTATGTACCTACCATTTTGCTACCAGTTACATTGAATCGCTTAAAGTAAATAATAAAAATTATTTCTGATGGTGAAAACCCTTGGTGCTTTTTGCCAAAACTTCAACTGTTTAACCAATTATGTTCTGAAAATACAAAATTCCTTTTGTCACTTCTATATAAAGCAATACAAACATGAAGAAACACCAACATAAACATGAAGGCCATCTCATTGGAAAAGATAACCATAAAAAAACCCGCTGAATCACTTCTTAATATAATAGTTTCTGAATAACTATGTGGTAGGAAAAAGGAGGGAGGAAGGAAGGGTCAGGGAGGATGGAGGTAGAGAAGTGAACAAAGAGAAGGGAGGGAAAAGCAGAAAAGAAAAGGAAGGTGGAAAAGAATGAGTGTAGGTGCTAGAAGAGAAATATTATTTTATGAACCAGAGAATACTGTCCCAATACACTAATTTAGAGACTAAAAAAGCACTGGTTAGAGGGAAAACAAAATTTAAATGCAAAGATAGACCTTGGGCTCCAGGAAAATGAAGCCCATTCCTCCTAAGTACAGATACAAACTCTAGATATCATTTATCAAACAAGCATCAGAAGACTGAAAAGTGAAAAGAAGGAAGACAGACCAGGGAACCGGGCCTTTCAGAGCGGCATGGTGGAGAGATCCCTGGGGATTTTTGTTGCCTCCTATGTAGCCTGCTCTGCGTATTGGGAAATACCCAGGAGCATGGATGAAAAATCCTGGAAGTAACCTGCTCTCTCCGTGCAAGGGACTGACTCCTGCACCGGGTGCAGCTTCCAGACTTCTGATGCGCCTGCCCTTCTCCAGTCCACCTCCCCAGGGGCCAAAAGCCACCCTCAGCAGCCCCTCAGATGCTGTTTTCCTTGAGTGCCTCCAGTGAGACATTCCCCATGAGCGACTCTTCTTGAAATTTCCAGCAGGTTCTACCAATGCAAGTACCACAGTGACTTCTGTAATTCTGTGAGCCACAGCTGTGCCACCTCTAATAGTCTTGATATCAGTCATGGGGTCTCTTTGTGGGGCACTCTGCCTCAACTCTGATGAAGACTCATGCTCCTTATGGTGGCTGTTGCCATATTGTTTTCAAGTTCTCTTTACTTAATACTGATCCATCTGTCCTTGCTCCAAAGCTAATAGTTCTCTACATTAAGCTTTGTCTGTCTGAATCACTGTGTGGTTTCTTTCTCTAGATTGAATCCTGGCTGAGACACGATGTACAAATCAGCCGTTCTTCAATTTGATTAAGTCTGCGATAATGATGATATCAAATTTCAAGGACTGCAACATATAAGGACAAATTTGGGGAGAATTCAACAAATTAAGTAGCATCTGCTGCGAAACTTTTAAGACTGACCATGCTTGGGGTGCCTGGGGGGCTCAGGCAGTTAAGCATCTGCCTTGGGCTCAGATCATGATCCCAGGGACCAGGGATGGAGCTGCAGGTGGGTTCAAGCCCTCAGGTGGGCTTCCTGCTCAGTGGGGAGTCTGCTTCTCCCTCCCTCTGTCCCTCTCCCCACTCATGCTCTCTGTCTCTAATAAATAAATAAAATATTTTTAAAAAATTAAGACTTCATCTTGTGAAGTAGTAGACCATTTTATTTCATTTTGCTCTTCTCTGTTTGTTGTTGTTGTTGTTGTTTTTAGTAGGATTGCTTTCCAGGCTAATTTATTTGGAGGGACATGTCAGCTTTAATTATTGTGTATCAATGTAATATACCAGTGGTCCTAAAAATATAGTTATTCGGTTTATAATTAAAGTCTGTTTTCTATCTTACCACACAATAGAATTATTTTATATCTAAAAATGTTTCAATAGAAACAAAATAATGATCTGTTGTCCTAAGTATAAATATAACAGAGATCTTTAATGAACTGTATTATAATTTAGTCTCATTTTGAAGAAATTTATAGTTCTACACGGAGATTCATATTTTCCCTGTTTTTACTGCATACAAAATACATTTCATCTCATGTGATACCAGGCTAGATAGCTTTGCGTTTGAAAATTAAATACAACTCTGAAAGGAAACATTCCTAAATTTATGGACTATCATTCCCTAGATCTGTATATTATTAATATTCATATAGAATAAGAAAGCTTGAGATGGTCTTGGAACAGGAGCATTTATTTGCTTCTCTGAAAACTCTCAACTTTCAAAAGACAGAGCTATGAGATGTTATTACTAGACCTGAGGGAAGTACTGAAGTTGAGGTTTGTAAATACAGTGCTTAGTCGTACAGGGCACAAAAAAATGATATAAGCTAAAGGAATCATTTTTAACTTGTAAGTACTCTTTAATACTGATGATTGCCATATGTCAAAAATTATGCCAATATGCATCAAATGTATTGTATTCTAAATTTGAATGGAGACCATAGAATGAAATCCACAAAAGAAATCTGTCAATCTATCAATTTTAGTCCATTTAGGTTGCAAGGACAAAAATACTGTAGACTGGGTGGCTTAACAAACATTTCTTCTTCACCGTACTGGAGGCTGAGAAGTCTAAGATCAAGACATCAGCAGATTCAATGTTTGGTGAGGACCTGCTTCCTGGTTTATAGATGGCTCTCTTCTTGGATCCCCACATGGCAGAAAGTAGAGGGAAGCAAACTCTCTTGGGACTTTTATCAGGGCCCGAGTCCTATTTATGAGAATTCTGCCCTTGTGATCTCATCAAATCTTAATTTCCTCCTAAGGACTGCAGCCCTTAATGTCATCACATTGGAGGCTAGGGCTTCAGCATATGAATTTGTAGGATGGGGGGGATATAAACATTAAGTCTAGAACATTCCATCCCTGTCCCCATCCCCTAGATTCATGTGTTTTTTTTTTTACTGCAAAATATATTCATTGCACCCCAACAGTTCCAAAACTCTCAACTTGTTTCAGCATCCACTCTATAGTCTAAAGTCCAAAATCTCGTCTAAATACTATCTAAGTTATATAAGGATGAAACCCAACATATAATTTATTCACTTACTGTATTAGTCTGCTTGGGCTGTTTTAATAAAATACAATAGACTGGGGCCTTTAAACAACAGAGATTTATTTCTCATGGTTCTGAAGGCTTGGAGGTCCAAGACCAAGGCAGATTTGTTTGGCATTTGGTGAGAACCCACTGCCTGGTTTGCAGGCAGCTGTCTTCTTGGTGAATGCTCACAGGGCAGAGAGTAGAGAGAAGCAAGCGCTCTGAAACTCTAAGGGCATTAATCCCATTCTTGGGGCTTCACCTTCATGACTTCATCTAACTCTAATTATCTCCCAAAGGCACCTAATATCATCACACTGGAGGATATGATTTCAAAATGCAGATTTGAGGGAGACACAGTTAGCCTATAATGGTCATAGGATCGCACAAGGGAACTGGCATTTCGTGATACATATTTGGCAGGACACGTTTGGCTATACTGCAGTAATGCATAAACACCATAACCTCACGGCTTAATATAATAAAAGATTATTTTAATCTAGAATAATATTCAATGAAGAAGGTGACCTTAAGTTTTAGGTTAAAGATTTTATAAATGTATATTTCCTGGAAAAATTAAAATGTCCAGATCATTAAAGCAACATAAATATAACAGAAATGGTATTACCTTAACTAAAAATTCAAACTTGGACAGAAAAAGTTGAGAAAACAGTAATAATCTTGAAAAATACTTTAATTTTAGATATTTTGCACCAACTAAGCTACAAATGATTTGATTTTGAAAATGGAATATCTTATGATCACTTTTTAATGAAAACTAATTGATTTTTAATGTTTTTGGCAAAAAATACATGCTGTGAAATGACTATGAAATGACTGAAATTTCCACTGGAAAACATGTTGCTAAAAATAATTAAGTAGCTGTGCTTGATTTATTATCTCTAACTAAAGGAGTAAAGTTCTTTATTTTGAATTACTCACATTCTCCATCTTAGTGTGGGCAATCCTCATTTCTCACTTTAGTGAAATTAAGATTTATCCTTTACTAGGAAACAAGTCGCAATCCAATTTGAAGCAAGAGGGAGAGTAATCAGTTACCTCTGAATCATTGTTATAATGGGAAAAGCCTAAATGAGCAGGAGAGAAGATGGTT